TGATTCGTCTGAGCTATATTTAGTGAACTATAGTTGTCAACTCTGGTAGCAGTGCCAATGTGATCCGTCCACATATCAGGATGTTCCGAACGTAGAGGGAAATTTTTATAGGAGTGATAGCAGACTTCAAAATCTACAAAAAAAAGTTCATATAAACAATAGGCCAAGCAAAAACAATTTTCAGCATAAAAGTATGAAATTAAAGTTTTATGTTTTTTTAAGTGTCGTTTATTTTGTTGAATAGGAAGTAATAATTAAAGAAATATTTAATTTATGTAATTAACAATTGATTCACTATAAATTAGGCAAAATTTACTAAAATCGAAAATAGAGTTAGTCTTTGTTAAGATCACTTAAAGAGTACTTATGAGTGACTAAACTAAGCTATTATCTGTTTTAAAAAAAATCATAAATTATTCGCGATTTTTTTTTATTATCATCCGTCTGTTTAGAGGCTCAAAAGCACTCTGTAAATGGTTTCAACAATGACAAACTCTATTTTCTTTTAAAGTAAATTTTGTCTATTTTTTAGTAAAGCAATTGTTAATTACTCAAATTAAATACGTCTTTAGTTATCGCTTCATAATCAACAAAAAACACGACTTACTTAAAAAAACACAAAACTTGTATTTCTGACTTTTCTGCTGAAAATGGTTCCATCGTTTACATGAACTTTTTTGTAGCTCTTGAGGTTTGCTACAGCTCCTAGAAAAAGTTCTCTCTATGTACGGGACATCCTGTATACAAAAATAAAAGATACATACCTATTGCACTTTAGCATAACTCTAACACCTTCTGCGCTACTGTCCGGTTTAAACTTGTATATATGCTTTTTAATTTAACAGCTTTCATTTCATGTTTAGTGGTGTATTTTATTTATTATTTTTAAATGATATTTCGAATCTAATTTTTGCTTAAATACTAAATCGGCTTAAAAATCCTATATATGCAACACAGATTCGATTAAACTGTTATAAAATCTTGCTGTTAATTCCTAAAATTACTTTATTAAAAATCACTCAAGTAAAATAAAATATGACTGATCCCCTCAGTCATCGAATCAGGAAGGAGTACCTAATAGTTGGTCAATGATTTTTTCAAGCCAATTCTGTAATTCTATATATGCAAACAAGTTTTTTTTTTTAATATACATTCTGTAATGATGAATGAAATCATGTTAAATACTCAGATTTTAAGTTATCAATACAAAACTGTAGAGATATTGATCAAAGTAATAGTATCCGATGTTTTAAAGTTTTATCATTATGTAGAGATTTGTTGTGCAATTTTTTATTTTTTTTTTGTATTTCCCAAGATTTTATTTGTTAATTAGTGATACTGTGCTCTTTGTAGTTATCAGGAACTATGAAACGTGTTTACAAAAGAATACCAGGTGAAATATTGCAGCAGGGCCATGGATTCCTTGCTAATATTATTGAGAAACATCACATATAAGGAATATGAGAAAGAACCACAAATCTGTTTTTTTAATATATCACCTTTGTTTGCCTTATGATGTTTCAACTCCTAGGTCTCTCATTCACTCATGAAGTTAGGTAGATACCTGAGATGTTACAACTTTGTCACTAAAATCGACTTACTGAAATTAGACTTTGATTAAACTGGTCATATAAATATAAAATTAAATGGTCTCTAATATTTCTTAGAACTTATTCTCATTGTCGGACGAGGCTTAAATGCAACAAAACAGCTCATGAACTGTTTCATAAGATACATATTTGGGATCCCCAAGCGTTCACGTGTTTCTTTCAGGTACACCGAGTTGAAGTGGCTTTATCCTAGTCAATACCAGGTCTCAACCTATAGATTTATATATCTCCTCCCATAAAGTTACTTCCTTCAGCAAACCCTTCGTCTTTCGTGCTGCCTCCTTTTGGAACTCTCTATCTAACTCTATTCGCCAACCCTCGTCCACAAATTCCTTCAAACAACATCTGTTCCACCACCTACTCCATATTCAAACTTCCGCAAACATGTAAAATTCACTTGCGTCTGTACAAAGTCTAATTCAATCAACCGCACAATTGCAAAAACAATCAACAGTCAATGAGGCATAATTTTGTATACATCTAAGCCAGACTAATGTTCTTCCCCAGAATAAAATTATTTTTTCATTCATTCATTTCTTAAGTTTCTTCCCCTATAATACCTTTAATTTCGATTATTAGACATAATTAAAGGCTCTCATTGTTATTATTAGTTTTTTTTATCATTTAGTTGTTATTTTGCTTTTGTTTATTTTATGTTTCAGTATATATGATGTGTTCTTACCTCATTTTATTTATTGTGACAGAATGTTATATTACTAAATAAATAAAAAATAATTATTAGTAGTTATACGAAAAGGATAAATATGAACTAGCTCAATTTCTGCTTTTGCACCAGTTCCTTATTTTTTACTCTAGTTTTTCAACTTAAAACTTTTAATCAGTTGAAAAATAAAAGTTCTTTTTTTTTACCGATATCGAAAATATTGCATATAAAAATAATAAGGAGTACTTTATGGGATGACTTTTTTATTGGAATATCCTGACAGCAAAACAGTAGCCTAGAATTTTCTGAAACACAGTTCCATTGTTCAGAAGATGAGAAGTGTATTCATTCTCATTATGCATTCATCTTCTTCCATTAGAAATTTGAGATTTCTATAAGAATATTTGAGTGTTTTATATATGTTAGTTACTAGAAACAAAATATGGTGAAACAATAGGAAATTAACTGAAGGATGATTTTTATTTAGTCGTTTAAACTTTTTAAATAATTCAAAGCTTCCTTTTGTATGAAAATAATTTAATAACGAATTAAAAATAAAGAATAAATTGCCTATATTGAAGTCTTCTAAGAGTGATAACTATGTTTGAAATATGTGTAATAAATATGCGATAGCTCTTCTTATCACGGACTGTCCATATACTTTATAGCATCAGTTCGATGAATTAACGAGAAGATATCTGTTTGATAACCACCTATTTATTTATGTTCAAGGGCATAAGCTAAAAAAAATAATATTCGGTATGTCCACTAAGTTTTCCTGGTTTTAAAAATTGTGCGCGCCTTCTAATTGAATTTAATTAAAAATTTATTTGTAGGTCAAGATGTTTGAAAAGCATCTTTTTAAGGTCTCAAATTTTTTATCCGAAATCCGGCCATTCTTTTGGTGGAATTGAGCATTTTAAAAAGTTGTTTGCACTTCTACAGGTTCTTTTTAATTTAGTTAGACGGTTGGCCGTTAATTTAATTGTGTTAGAGAAGTACTTTTTTCTCATACCGCAAACAAATTATAAGAAGATAAAATATAAGAAAAACATCATGTAGTTCAATTATTTTAAAATTCTCTTCAATTTTCTCTGGTCACCATTATGAAACAATTAAATCAGTTTTAATTTTAGTTTTCCAAACAAAAATAAGGGTCAAGTACGATCTCAGCGACGGATCTCTGCTTCTATTTTTTTTTTTTTTTCATTATAAATTATTTGATCAACTTTATTTTGACCTTCATTGTAATATTACTTTTTTATAGATTACTTGTGATCAAAAGAATTTTTCGTGGTTATAATTTTACCAAATATCTAAATTTATTGTATTTTACAATAATTTAAAGTTGAAAAGTACCTAATATCATAAAATGCTTTACTTTGAAAAAAAAGTTAGTTTTTGGCAAGTACATTCTTTCTGTATTAAGGACCCCTTACGCTAACTGATCCAGGATTTAATTTTGGGGGAAACTTCAGCCCAAAAGATTTTTTTTTTTGTATATTTGGATAATTACTTCAGAAGAAAGAAATAAACTAACGACCAATGTGAAATGTTTAAGTGATTCTGTGAGGGGGTTACTCTCCTCTCCCAATAAAAGTAAGTGAATGAAAGTAAAACAAAGTATCACCCACCTACCGAAACATACATCCATTTTATCTTTTATACAAAATCGGAGGGGGACTAAAAATCCCTTTCCCTTCAAGAAAACAATAAAATAAAAGCATAACCCCTCTACTCAAACATATTACCAGGAGGAGCACTTGTAATTTGGTATCACCTAGAGCTTTTCAAGATCCGTATAAGTGGTTTAATATTGCTCAATATGATACTGTTTCCATAGTATTGAAGGAGCTTTAATTAAAATTTTAAAAAATGTATATCGACCAGTTTGATTGACTTCATATAATTGATTCCAATGTAGCCCTTCACGGTCAATATATTGACGAAACTCGATATTGACTGTGTAAGGGGTCCTTAAGACATGACTGATTAAAATTACTATTAAGCTAATAATTTGGTTTTAATATAATTTCTTTAAATTTAACAGGTCTCAATGGAAATATACTATTTTTTTCCTTTTTTTTTAAATTTATTTATTGTTATTGTATTAAAATCTTCACATTTGGAAAAGGAAAATCACGACTGTATCAAAACAAAATGGTTATCGGCTTCAAAGATTTTAATGCCGCAGAAGAAAGATGATATCCTAAAACAAGCGACCATGATTAACTTTTGGTAGGTTACCAAAATCTAATTTGGAGCTGAATTACGACCTAATAAATCTCGGAATAGATAATAACTTGATTTTTATCCATTTTATTACAGTTCTGGAGGGGCTTTTAGTAGTCCAAGAATACTGTGCACACCTGTTGGCTCCCGAAGGTGCTGCCACCTAGCGGCTGCAATGCAACACCTACCATTCTCGTCGGAAAGCTGGCGGTGTTTGTGATCCGTTGTGATGTTATCCGTTAGTTGTGTATGTTACGTACATCTGTCCTATTGTTTACGTGTTGCCATCGCTTCGTATCGCGTAATCATACTCTAGCTTCAGTATTATAATCAATTGAAATGCTCTTCTTCTGTACCGCTTTTCGAAAAGTGACCGTTAGTCTTGGCATGCCTGCATTCTGTAAACATTAATTTTCTTCTTAGCTTTTCTTTAGGGTGAGGTAATGTGTCAGTTACCATAAGCATAAGACTGTAGTGACGAATCTTTATTGGGTATGGATGTGAATAAAATGATTGATGAGACCGATGATTCGGCGGCAAAAGAAAATGATCCTTGCCTGCCATCCAGCAATTCTTTTAGGAAATCGATGGAATCCCTGAGTAAGAAGAGGGAAATCGAACAACAGAATTCCTCAGTACTTGATGTAGAGAAAAATAAGAATATTGAAAACACCAATAGTTACACTTTGAAACAAGAAAAGAAAAAATCTGGACTCAAAGTTACAATTGTACCACCCTCATCAAAATTTGAAGAATGGTTAACACAAAAAACTGGTCTTTCGAGGCCTGGTCTCCTTGTTGCAGGAGTATTAATATTGTTATTGTTAATTTTAATTCTTACAGTTGTTATAATGACTTGTCTATGGCCTGATATTCCTCATTCGATGATGTTTCCATTGTGCAGAGCACCGGCATGCCTTTTGGCTGCCTCTGAGGTAAGCTTAAATTTTATCTGGAACAAAGTAGTATTCTTAGTAGTTTGATCACTTGTTTCCAAAGACCATTAGATGATAAGGAGACCTTTGCTGTCAAGAACTTTAAAAATACCTTGCCTATCATACAGATACCACTCATTAATAGCAGCAATGTGTTTCTTATTTTTAACTCCAAATTTATGGTCTTAAAACATTTTAAAAATCAATCCCATTTAAAGCTACCAAAAATGACTTTATTGTTAACATATTGGTTTATCTCATATCATTTATTGGCTTCATATATAAAATATTAATTGTGTTTATACAGAAAATATTAAAATCAGTAAAATGTAAGGAGCACTGTCACCTCATTTGCTAGACATATTACAATTTCCTATTATATTTTTTATCTAATTATTTGATGTAAGTTATCTGTTGAATGTTTTATAGTTTTAAGTGTTTGATCACAATGTAATCAAGCATTAAGTTATGTATATCTTATCTATAAGTAATCAGAAATTTATAAGTTTAAAATATTTGGTCAATATTTTTGCATTCATATTATGAAAATCATTTAATTAATCTAACCAAAATAAAATTGGTAGATGTGGATAAATAGTAAAAGTGTAGGAAAAAACATTAGCATGCTGGTTAATAGATATCACAAACACATAGATAGATAGCACACACACATATATAAATCTATGTATATATAACATTTTATTCATTCATATTCTTGAAGTAATTTGGTTTCGTCTAATCATAATGCTGCAAGTTTTCTGCTATTTCCCAAAAATCACTAAATCTAAATTAATATTTCTAAGTTAATTCTGAATCGTTATTGAAAAATAAGGTGGCTTAAAGTTTTACCAAGTTAATTATCAGTAAACTTTTATTTTTAATAATTAATTAATATTAGTAACCTAGTAATAAGAATATAATTGATTTATCCTGGTAAATGGTCCCATTATTTTAAAAAATATTATATTTAGATTTTTAATTAATATTGTTTAATATTATGTTTATTTCTAATTTTTTTTTTTTTTTGTGGTTAGGCCAACTATGGATCACACAAATGTCATTTTTTTATTACCTTTCTTATCATGAAACTAATTGCTATTTTTATGTAATCCCATTACCTTATTTGTATTTTACCATAAAGTTACTCGGTAACTGCCATCGATGTTATTTCAGTCCAAAAGAATTGATAAACGATACCTCATTAAGTGCTACTTGCATTTTGTTCATGGATGTCATATTATAAATCATCAAAACAGCATTTATTTATCAAAATATTTCTGTTCGAATTATAATCTAATGGTTAACAAACTTTTAAGTCTTCAAGCCAAATATCATTGAAGTGAGTTGCAGTCATGTTATTTTGTAAAGTAAATTTCTTTCTTTTCTCCCTTTCGAGATCATATACAGTCTCAAATGAGCCTTAGGTATGTGTCCTTTTTATATATTCTAGTATCTCTTTAATGCAGAAGTCATAAAAACTTGGTTGAAGTATGAATATGTTTTATTGGAATTCTTCTTTTTTACTTAAAAGATAATTCCATTGTTAATATTTCTTTTTAAGGAAATCCTTGTAATCTTTTGACACATAAATTTCACATTATTTCGTTTTGCCAATTAATGTTTTAAGGAGTTATATTTAAACTTGTATCTGTTGATATGAGTGTATTGCCATATGCAAGTATTTTTAACTATTAAATATCCTCAATTCCTTAATATTGTTTACATTTTATCCCTACAAGTTTTTTCTAAGTTCCTATTTATTAGAAATTTTCCTACACTTTAGGCCTATAACCTTTGTGTTAAATCAGTAGATGTTAACGGATTTTGAGCAATAATCATTGACCTGTTATAAATTTGGCAGTCTTCTGGAAACTCCTCCTACTCCAAACGGACCCTAAGGCAAGCTATAAAATTAGAACATTAATTTACTGGCCTGTAGCAATATGTTACTGTTTATTCTATATAAACCACTTTGGAAGCCACTTGATCAATCAACAATTCTATTTAAAGAAAGCTGAACATGAAACAGCTGTTTCCTCCATTCAGTACACTTTTTATCCTGTCATTTTTTTGTTTTCAACTTGTAGTAATTAAGTGTAAAAAATCAATTATTTTTTTTATTCAATTACACATGATTTTTTTTCTTTCTCTCTTTTTAAATATTAATTTACAAAAGTAAACATACTCTATGTGAAATAATTATGTATTAAATATAGAGTTTACATTTATACTAATATTACTTTGTTAATTATTACATTATTTGGAGATATACATTTTAAAAAAACAATAATCAAGAAAGGAAAAAAAGAAACTAGTAAAAATATATTTAAAAGAAAAATTGATTTAGTAATGATATAACAAAAAATTAAAATTTATTTTAATTTAAACTTTTTTAAAATTTAAATAAAAGATTTTTTTATTTAGCTTGTTAATTAATAATACTTAGTTGCTAATGTTATTTAAATAGAATTAACAATAAGATAAATTTGGTTCTTAAAAAATTAATTTTAATTTAATGTAAATAATTCTCTCCTTCTATATATGAATTGTTTTAAATAATTAAGTATTGCAATAATTAGATATAATGCATATTTCTGTTGCATTTTCAAATCTATTTACAGCTATTTCTCAATGAAGTTTCAGCTTTTTGGTCTGCAAACAATTGTGCTTTAATTTTTTTGAGTTGAAGTAACTAATAATCTGAAATCCAGACTATGTATAGTAAACAACTGCTTATATTAAGCTTAATATGAATATTTTTTTTAAAAAAGTAAAAAATATTTTAAGTTTTCATTTTAATGTGAAACTATATAATGTCTTTACTTTGGAAAAATATTTTATATATTAACTTGAAAGAATAAATAATTGTTAACTTGAATTGAATACTTAGTATTCCTTTAATTTATTGTTGGAATGAAATTATAGTGTTCACATAAATTATCATTAGCAGAAGTTTTTTTTTTTTTTATCTATATGAAATTAATGCCATTTAAAAATATTTTTCTAAGTCTATCACAAACCATTTGCTTCTACTTCGTTGTGAACTTGAACCTTAAATGAGAGCCTAACTTATTTATGAATTGTTATGTCCTTGACGCTTCATCAATCTGGCAGAACCAAGCACTAATAGTTAATTTTTATTATAATATGATAAATTTGCTTAATTAATTAATTATTTTTAAATTTCTTTATGTACTTGGTTTTCCTAATTTACCTTATCTACACTTACCAGCAATTTACAACCTAAATGGCAGATTTTTTATTATATTTTTGCAGAGCACTTTTTATTGACAACTAAACACAGCATCGTTTTAGTTATTTATTTTTTTTTTGTAAAATATATTTTTCTAAACATAATTTAAATTTTAATTAATCAGTTTTTTTCTGCTAAAATCTGTAAATTATTGAATTAATTAAACAAATGATCAAAACGTAGACTGATCACTTAGAAATGGTATTAATTCTATTGATTTTTTTAGTAGAATTATTGATGTTTGTGAAAATTTAAATTAATTTTTAAGAAATAAATGTGATAAAAACAACTAATATTGAATGATAATTGAATTTAAGAGATGAATGAATAAAAAATTATCTGATTAGTTTGGACCAACAGTTTTTTTTTTTGTTTTGTTTGTATTATTTTCCATTGTTTAATTTTCTTTTCACTTTTGTAATTTAAAATTATTGTGCTTAATCCATCTAGTGTTTGTGTATTACTTTCTTATAATTAAATATCCAATTCTTCTACAGATTTGGAGAAAAAGAAAATATAAATATAAAAAGATCTGGGAAATTGATATAACATGAATAGTATAATTTTCCTAAGTAGAAAAATAAATTGTTTTCCTCTATTTATAAATGCTTATACATTTTTATTCTTTTCAGGTATTATCAAAAATGAATCAGAATGTTAACCCATGTGAGGATTTTCGAGAATATGCTTGTGGTCATTGGTTAAACACCCAGAGCATACCTAATGACAAGAGTTTGTGGAATGTAAAACAAGCCATGCAGTTTAAAAGTGTGTATATACTTTTCATTTTCAATCATTTGTAGATTCAAGTGGGTAAATGTGATAAATAACATATTAGCAGCTCTGAGAAAATTGAATTTAAAGTTTGTTACATGCAATTTTTTTTTAAAAAGCACAGTCTACTTTTTAACCCTTGTTTAAATGATTGAAAAAGTTTTTAATTTTAATAGAAAAAAAATTGAATAAATATGAAGTCTATGTTTAACTTATTTTAATATTCTAATTGTCATCATATGCTGAAAAAGATCTGGCGAATTAGGATTTTGTTAGTGGATCATGGGGATTAATCAGTTTATGAAAGATTTCTAGTCCAAAAGTGTGTTTTATTTTTATATTATATGTGAATTGATCTTGACAAATATTTAATGAAGTAAAAATTATATCAATATTTTATTTTAAAAATAAAACAAGTAGCTACTGTTAGTGTAAAAGGTCGTATGTAACAATTTTCTATGTTAATTCTAATTTCGACATACAACCTTTTGCACTAACAATAGCAAGCTATGTATTAAAAAATTACATATTATTATAACTTTTTTGTTTAATATATCTCCATAGTATTTTTATAAACATACTTAGTTGTTCTTCAAGTTCACAATCTTCTGTTCACTCAGAGATATTATTTCATCCATGGTAAATAAATAGTACTAACTATTTTATACTATTAATTAAAAATAGTTAATTTATCCTTTTTGAGGCTGAAGGGATTTTTTATGGTAATAAAAATGTAGAACTAATGTAATGATCAAGACATTGAGGATTTTTTTTTATGAACTTTAAAGTTATCCATTCATTGGCATTTATTGAAGAAAAAAATATAATAAAAATTGAAGGAAATAGATTTGTTTTAGAAATTTTAATGAATGGAGGTTCGATAATTATAAATTGAAATGTATTTTATTTACATTTTCTATTGGAAATATATTAATTTTTGATACCTTGTATTTTCAGATCGAGAGCATTTGAGAAATTTGATCACTACCATGCCCTATCCGACTGATGTTGAACAGTTCCAGTGGCGTTTAAAAAATATTTATGATTCATGTATGTCAGTCGGCTCAGTAGAAACAGAGGGTAGTCAACCACTGAAGAAGCTAATTCATAGTTTAGGTAATAATCTACAATATCTTCTTATAATTTGGTTGAAATAATTGTGACTTAAAGTTAATGTAAATGAGATAATCAATGGATTTATTCAATATTTAAAAAAAAAAAAAAATATTTTCTCGTTCAGTCATGTCCTTAATGCAGTTGGAGATATTATTAATTAAAATTTTAAAAATTCAATATTTTAATACTTATAATAAAGAATAGAAAATTTCTGTTACACTTAAGATCGACATTTGATTGGATATTTTATATAAATTAATCTGGTGACCGCGTGTAAGGCCAAAAACCAAATGGATAGATGACTATAAAGAAATAGGTAGAGATGGAGTAAACTGATTTAAGACTGAAAAAGATCTGCTCATATTTAAAATTGTTAACCCATTTATCATAAAATTATTTTGTATTTACAATATTGACTGTAGTTAAGATTATGTAATAAAGTAGGAACTTTAAAATCCAATGTAATTAATTTTCATTGATTGATTTTATAGTTCATCAAGTGTTTTTATTTAATTTTGTTTACTCGTTTTATTTCTTATTGCACAGTATTTGTATTTATTTTGTTCTTTTAAAATTGATTCCGTTATTCTTTAAGGGTAAATTTATTTATTTATTTTTCTATTAAACAAACTATGATTATTCTGAATAAATATAAAATGAAAACTGAAATTTTTTCTTCTTCTCCCGTGCATGCTAGTTGCTAATTCGATTGCATTAATATTAAAATGATAAATGATTTTTTAAAAAAAATCTAGATATTACTCATCAACCTGAAAAACTTTGAGAAATATATATATATAAAAGAGACCGTTTAATCAACAACTCTCTGTATATTGATTTAATATTATTTTAAAAAACCTTATAATAAGTAAGTTTTATAAATTAAATTTTATACTTCAAATGTAAGACGGCATCTAATTTAAAACTCATCCATTTTAAAATTTAATTTTCATGAAAAAAGGTGCATCTTAAATTTCATGCAATATGGTATTTTGAACTATGTTGTAACACAGTCTTGTAGACGCATCTTTCGTTTGTTCTAGTCCACTGCCTAGTAGTCTTTGTTGACTTTACACTTGAATGATGCCTAATCATTTGGAACTAATATATTCAAGCTCCATTTATTCTGTATTCTAAATATCTTTTATATATGTATCTTTTTCTTTTTCTTAGGTGGATGGCATGTTTTACGTGAATTTTCTGTTCAGACATGGGACATGTCAAAAACCTTGAGAACCCTACATGCAAAATACAATATTCAACCATTCTTTTCTGTTGAAGTTGTTCCAGATGCTAAATCTCCTCAACAAAGCATTATACAGGTATTAACATGTATGAGAATAAGTTTCTGTTTTAATTATTTATTTTATTAAAATATGTTCAATTCGTATTTTGGTGATGAAGTTTTAAAATGTCTATGAGCACTCCGATATAATGTGTATCACATTATGCTTAACCTATATTGCATAAAAACCTTAATTTTGAGTTAGCAGTGATCCCTTTCATATATCTCCTAACAGATTTGAATGAGATTTACATTTTTATAGTTAATAGGATAATCTTGTAGTCAAGGATTTTTAGAGATAGTAATCTTATATTATTATCCAATAATTGTAATATGTAATAATATGATGTAATGCATATTGAACGGGAGAGCAAAAAGGGATTACAACCCATATGACATGTCCGAATTAGTGAGAAATGATAAAGATTTTTCAGTTTCTTAGTTCAACTCTTGCGGTTCTCAGTGCCAAGAAAAAAAACATTACCTCTTATTATATAAACCCGGTGTTTATCGGACCTTGAATACCTAGTAAAATTGAATTTTTTGGTCTTGGAAAAGTCAAGGAATTCTATGAAAAAACACCAAAAGTAGAAGAATTTTGCAAGCCTAGGGACTTGAGAGCGAATTTGCTATTATAATTCAGAATAATTATTGGTCAGAAAAAAATTACAAAATAATGATATGTAAAGTTGTAAAAATTACTACTTGGCCTATGGAAATAATTTTCATATTATATTTGTATGTGGAATAATGACAGTATAATATTAAGTAAATTCAATATACTATAAGAGGGAAGAATTTTTTTTTTCCTTGATCAATTCATATAGATCATTCAAAATAATAACAAATTTATTTATTAACAATATTTTTGACAACAATTAAAGCTTTAGCCACTTTTTACAATAGACATCTTTCAATTACTGTTAAACTGATTAATTCCTTTTATTTTTATCATCAACTTGCTTATACATATTTTATGTAATGCTATATTTTAAAACTTTTTTTTTGTTTAGATATCTCCTGGTAGTCTTGGTTTACCAGACAAAAGTTATTATTACAGAAAATCTGATGATAAGGTAAATAGAAATTTTATGTTATAAAATTCTATCTTTTATAAAACAAATCTTTTTGATTTTGTTTAAAATATTGTTTTTATTTTAGGTCATATTGGCTTATAAAAGGTTTGCAAAAGATGTGGCTCTTACTTTAGGAGCTACCAGTACAGATGCGACAACTTTTTCTGATGACCTGTTTGGATTTGAAAGGCGTTTAGCAGAAAGATTCCCTTCAAGATTACCTGATAGGACTGCTCATTATAGACCCACAATTTCAAAACTTGAAGAAATAGCTCCATCTGTAAGTTTTCTTATTACTTTCACTTACCTATATACATAATATACTGTAAGGAAAAGTATTGCGATCTCTTTGATTTTTTGAATTTTTGATCTCAGTTTTCAATGGAAATACATATCTTGAGGTCCCCTGAATTGAAATAACCAACTCTCGAAAAATGGTCTGTGTGTGAGAGAGAGAGAGAGAGATATCAGCCTAGCTCAAAAATGAAAAGTTCTACGAAACTTAAATTGCATATTTAAGTTTTGTATATGTTTTTGTTAAAATCAGCTAACCGGAAGTGCCACTTTATATCAACTTTGATAGACATTTTTATGATTTTCTCGAAAAAGGCTCTAACGATTTTGATTAAACTTGGTACATCAGTGTGTTATTAATTTGGTTTTAATATCAGGTGGGTCTTATCCACATTAATTTCACTTTAATGGGCTTAAATGACCAATGTTTATATACGTCATCCTCTAAGGTACCTTTAATTTGGTTTATTTTTAAAAAATAACTCTCTCTTATTGACAGTCACTGTAAAAAATGGCCAAATATAACTTTTGAAAGAATTCGATAATTGAATAAAGGAGAAAAGCTTATCCAGGTCGAAAATTAATATCCGGAAATAATAGTCGGAAGGTATACGTATAATATATCGTTGAAAAGCAAAGAATAAAAAAAAAAGCAATAGCTAATACAGAAAATTGTAGAAGGTAACGGTAAATAATTTGATCACAAAATCGATGAAAAAGGTGGCCTACAAAAATATTGGGCCGTTTGTCCTATATAACCTCGTTGTTTTGAAAATTTGGGTGTGTAGGTCACTCCAAACAGCTCAATATTTTTGAAGGCCACTTTTTTTATCAATTTATGTTACAATCCAAGTAGAAAACAAATGGGTATTTACGAGTTTTTAGTACCTAATTAAATAGACAAAATTTGCCCCTCCCTCCTTCAGATTAAAACGCCCCAATTCTAAGAATTTTTGTAAATAAAATAGTTGTAGGTTACGATGAGATGAAACTATTTACCAAGTTTCCGGCGGATGTTAATAATTCGATAAAAAGGGGTCTGTACCACAGACTATTTTATAATAAACAGAGAAATGTAGTCGAGACATGCTTTCACACTTCCAAGTAGTTCATAATCAATATCGGCAACAGTTGTAGAGTTGCATCCGGCTCTTTTTCATAACTATTCTTGACATTCAAAAAATCGAAACCAAATATGAGGCTATTTCATCTGGATTTTAGAAGATTTCATAAATTAATATATAGAACTGTTCTATGTATAAAAATCCTGGTTGAATTTTTTTTCAATGCATCAAATTACTATTTAAACATTTTGTCAAAAACTATCGATACAGTATATTTATTAATATTTATTTTGGATATTTATATTCTTAGTATAATTGTGAACTCCTAATAAACATCAGAAGTTTAAATTTTATTTTTCCAGGAGATATTATCTTTTATATTTATTTTAAAGCATGCTTTATTTCCAAAAATGAATAATTTCTTTGTATTGATAATCACTCCTCCTAATTTCTCTATATCTTCAAGCCAATATTTGAGTTGAGAGGTCTCAAAGCAGTGCCTACATTTCAGAATTACATTAATATTAATAATTATTTTTGATTTCTCCAGGTTCCATTCTATGACATTCTCACCGCTATGTTCCCTGAAGCCAAGCTTTCCAAAAAGTCTGAAATAGTTGTGATCGCTTCTGACCATCTCGTCAACGTCTCTCATATTATATCTACAACTGATAGAAGGTAATTTTTGGTTACATGGTGAAATAATTACTCTATTTCCTTTCCTAAAATATTTAACTATTTATTTTACTTCTTTTATAGTGCATTGAATGACTATATGATGTGGAGACTGACTGTTGGATTCTTGCCATTTCTTTCAAAGCTATATAGAAGCACTATAAATGAGTTTCATAAAAATCTATATGGTAATTATTACTTACATATGCTTTTGTGTGTGTGTGTGTGTGTATTCAGATATTTATTTATCATTTCCATGTTTCTTCATTCAAAAATCATTTCTTGATATTAAAAACATTAACTTGCTAAATGAATATCACAATAATTCAGACATATCAGGTCTCTCTTCTCTCGGAAGTGGCATTTGGCTAAAATTTTAGGTTTTTATATGGAAATTTAGGTTTTATTTATAAAATTCTTTTATGATAATTAATATACTCAGTATAATAATTATTAACATAATTAATACACATAATTCATTTTTTTTCTAATAATTTTTACATGATATCTTGACTTCTCCTTTTCTGCTGCTACTTGGTTCCACAACTTCTTTTAACATTTGTCATATGTTTCTGATGCTCCTTTTGATCCTATATTGAACTAAATTTATTAATTGCTCACAATAAAAAACAAACAAAATGGAAACTTTTCATAATTGAACAAGACAGACAACGTTACAACTCAGTTTAGCCGAATGTTGCTGGTTGCTCATTGTAGAAATAAAAATATATAGAGTGTTTTATCTGCAAGTTAATGGATAGTCCAATGTCACTAAATGTTGCTTGTTGCAGCTTTGTGGATTAGTCACAAGCTGTCGCTTCTAATGGACGAGAAGCCTCATCTTCATACATTGAAGTGCAGATCATTGGTATTCTAATCTACTTTCTGTTGCTTCAGGCATTAAAGATGTTACACCAAGATGGGAAATGTGTATTGAAACATTGCAGAAGTATGTAGGTTATGGATTGGAAGCTATGTCAGAAAGTGCCAATACGGATTTGGAAAAAAAAAGTAAAGTTGTAAGTATTTCTATATGTATATGTTTTATTAATTTAGTTCTCTAGCCTTAAATAATAAAATTTAATAATAGGACTGATATAGGAATATTAAGTAAGTCATTGTGCTATTATAATTTTTATTTAAAAATTAATTATTGACAAAATAAATTATTGCTAACATAAATAAAATAATTTTCATTTTCATATTACTTAATATAGTTCCACCGTTCAACATTTCTTTAAATACTTAAATGAAGGGTAGTTAATAGGAGTGAAGAGATTCTCAGATATACTTTCTATTTCTCTACTGGATTTCTATTTTATTTTATTTTTAAATAATTAGGCCGAAGGTCACCAAATATACACGTTTTTACATTATGTATTTGTTATTCAACGTTTCTTCTTCACGAGTCATTTTCAAGATTTTCCTAGCAAATTTTAGTTTTGTTATTTTACTTTAAACTATATCATAATAAAACACAATAATTTATAAACAATCAGTCACATACATAGTCCTAATTCTATGCGTGTATTTAGCTATTACAGCAGTACTTTTCATGGGTACTCAATGTATGGTGTAATCAAGGAATAAATAAGCCCTTATACTTCATATTCATTCAATGGAAGGAGGAGGTAGTACCATATGGAAATGATAAGCATCAATAAATGCGCAAACAAGGAGACAAGAAATATGGTTATTTTGGATATTTGGTGTAATACAAATAGTAGTTCAATGAAATTATAATATAGAAATACATTTTATTAGGAGATAACAAATTTTTGGTGACTTGATAATGAGCTAATCACTGATTGTTTATAAATTATTATGTGTTTTATAATGATATATTTTAAATTAAATTAAAATTTGTTTGCAAAATCTTGACAATGGTTTGTGAAGACGAAACGTTAAATAATAAAGACACAATGTAAAAATGTGTATATTTGGTGATCTTTGGCCTATTGCTCTTAAAAAAAAAAATGGCACCTGAACTTCGGGAATTGATTAGAGTTATTATGATTTTAGTCAGTGAACCCATTTGGCTATCTACATAATTGAAAGCCAAAATTAATTAGTTAAAATAAGAGAATCAGATAATGTACTTAATCATTAGAACATGCCTGTTTGAATATTTTTATTTATCTTCATGCAGAAGTGACTGCAAAATTTTTACTCATTTCACATTTCTTACATCAGGAAAAAATTAATTTATAAAAAAATTCTGTCTGTATTCAAATCAGTGTGATAGGCATATAAAATTTTGATTCCCCATTGCAATGTTATCTATTAAGTTGTCATAACATATACTATTATTACTCAACTGCTTCTATGATTGAAGAGCGATAATAAAACGTAAGACATAAAAAGTTCTCTCACTTATATTTTTAGCCTTTCATTCTCCCAATACACAGGTGTCAAAAGATGGAAATTATAATGATATATATATACAATAACTTTGGAATTGCTTAAATGTTGAGGTAGTTAACAAAGGTACTCTTATTCAATGTTATATAGGTAATCTTTTTCAATGTTGTGATAATCATTCCATCCTTGGCTAGATCAGGATCATAGTTGAATTTAATCAAATGTATTTCTAATTATCCTCTTCTTTACTCATTGATTAGTTCTTATGAATAAATCATTGTGTAGAAGAGGTATATCAAATAATTCTTTAGTACCACCAATAAGCAATTAGTTTATGCTTCTTGGGATTTGAGGAATTACATCAAGTGCATAGATGAAATATTTATTTAGTACAATGAAGTACCTACTTTACAGTTTTGGTTTATTGTTTCCAATAATGAATCGTTGTAATCTATCCAGAAAAAAGAGTTAATCCTCTATTCAATATTTGAGACATTACATTTGAAGATTTGTATAATCCGAAAATCGTATAAAAAAAATTTAGCCATCGTATGTCGTCCATGGCTTTTTTCCGAGAACTCTGGCCAATTCTTTTGAGGTAAGGTATCAATGTTAAAAGTTACCCGAGGATGATCCTCAGAACTTGTCATTAACATCCATCGTTTCCTTCCTTTCCAAATGGCAACTGAAAAACCTATGTTGATAACAAAATGTCTACATTTTTTTGAACAAATAATGAAAAAAACAATGTTTAGATGGGATTGTTAGATTAAAAAATAATCTTAACGAAGCAATTTTAGTATTTAATTTTTCTCAGAACAGGTAAAGAAACTAACGTGACATGTCGCACCTATTTGATATATATAACACAAGTATTTGGAAACAATAAATCATTATATAATAATTTTGCAACATTTTTGTGTTTAAAGAAACATCATAGACATTAGTATCTATATAAAATTATATCAATTATACTTCTTTTTAATGCTGACACAATAGTTCAGTAAAATGGTTCCTATAATATAACAATTTCTTTATAGTATATAATTCTTTTCTAATCCATTAAAGTTTATAGTAATACATCTATGCATGAATTATTTTTTTTTTTTAAACTTAACTATTTTTTTCCACTAAAACTATATATTTTCTTTCTAGGTCAATGATATATTTGATAATATTAAGCTGACAGTAAAAGATTCAATTCAAAATTCGAAATCTCTTCCACTTCATATACAAGAGCATTTTCTGGACAAGGTACATATGTTAATTGACTAACTTAAATATTAAACTATCTAGGATCTTATACATAGATATATCAAGTATTATTATATAAAACTTACTTAACTTAAAAGTTTATATACCATTAAGGTTTCTTTCTTTATTTTATTTTTTCAAATATTAAAGTGATTATGTAGTGTTATGTTTAATAACCTTATCTTTTATGTTATCAACAGTTAAATACCATAGGCATCCAAGTTGGTCTCCCGAGCTCTATGCGTTTTCCTAGCTATTACAATGACTTTTATCGATCATTGACCTCTATCAAAGATGACTTTTTTCAAAATATACTCTATGGAACTGCATTTTATTTAGAAGAACAGCAGAGAAGGCTGAAATTACCTTCTGAAGAGCACAGGTACAAATTTAAAATTTCATAACTAAAATAAAATCATTTATAGACAAACAACTTAAACTTTCGCTGCACATGCACCTAAAAATAACATTTTGTTGTAGAAGTAAAAATCAAGTAACAAACTATTGCAAACAATTGTTAAAATGAAAATTCTAGATGATATCCTCTTGACAAGGTAGCTGTCAGAAGTTATGTAGGGAGAGACGGCTTCCTCCGTATTGAGCTTAACTTTTTTGTAATCTCTGCCTACAAAATGCAATGTACAGTGTTAGTACAATGGATCCTGGTTACCTTAGACCACATTATACCATAGGTTCAAATAGAAATCATGTCTGGATATCTGATTAATCAAAATAAAAGTCAATGACTTAATATTTCTTTTTTTTTTTAATTCTCATGCATTGTTGATAAAGATTATAATATTGCATCATTCAGACAGTTTTGATTAAGAATACACATTAGCTTATTTAACAATTGATGGATTATGTTTATCAATGATTTACAATTTAAATTACCATTTTAAAATGCAATATTTACCAGATGCCCTGTGCACAGGTGTGTGTGTGTGTGAATAGGATAATATACTACAATCCACAATTTTTAAATTAAAACATAACAATTGACTGATTGGGTATATTTTAGTCTTAATTTGTTTTCCTATTTGTTGTTTTTCATTTTGAAGGCGAATGATTTGAATGATGACAGATAAAACTCTAATGCTAAAACTTGCATTTAATGCTAATCTCACAAAATTGTATCCTTTTGTTTTTCAGATGGATGGACATAGTCTCTGATGGTCTATTAAAAGTAGTATATGTTCCAGAAATAAATAAGGTCGTTATTCCTATGGGACTACTGTCTATGCCTTACTTTCATGTTCACTATCCAATGTAAGTGTATTTTTATCTTGAAAGCTAGTTATTTCAGTTTCTGTTTTATATAACTTTTTTCCATTATCAAATATTACCACTTTAACATACTTATCACCTTATTCTGCACTTATTTGTGTGTTATTTACATTTTTTATGTTCTGTCATTTTCATTATTAGATAAGCTTTAATTATATAATTTAGTTGTCATTTTTACTAATTGATTTATTTGGAATTTTAATTTATCCATTATTTAATTATTAATTGATATTGTATGCACTTAATTTTAAAAAATAGACCATGAAGAATTGTTACTTTTTTCTATTTATTTTCTAATACAGTACTACTATCGCTTACTTTTATGACAATGTTGCTTATTGTTATTTAGACATACTCTTAGCCTAAATCAGTATTCTAGATCATATCTTTCTTATTAAAACTCTTTCTAATTCAGCAATATATATTCCATGCCTTATAGAGATCACTAACAACCATATAAATAAAAAATAATTGTTATAAAAAAGTCAGTTCCCACCAGTTCATAACATGAAAATCCTCGTTTCCTAAGAATGGTAGGCCAAATATATTCCAAACAAATCCATAGAATTTATTATTAATATTATCAAATACGTTTAATTTCAAACCATTATTTTATTTTAATCTTTTAGATTATTATTATCAGCCTGTTTCAAACAGTACATATTAACAATTGTTTTCTCTTTTTTTTTGGCATGTTCTAGTCGAGTTATTTATTTTGGCAACATTTATTTATTACACTAAGAAAACAATTGTGACAATATGAACAATGTTTTAACATGTACTATCTAGAATAGGTGAAAAGTTTTTATGAATAAAATGTGTGTGGGAATATTTTTTTATTCCTTAATCTATTTTGTTCAAGTTAAGAAATAAAATATAAATTAAATGAACATCCATAACAAAGTTGTTCATCACAATAAATATTTCACTTATTCCCGACCCATCGCACTTTTATCAAACATTGGCATAAATTGTTTTTCCATTAAGTTATATGTACATAGTATTAACATATTAAATAACAGTTGAAAATATTTATGTTAAATATTCATTGATTTCTGCAGGAGTGTTTTGTACGGAAGTATTGGTATGGAAATTGGTCTTGCGATACTGGGATCCGTATCGGGCAGGGGAGCCTTCCACGCCGGCGATGGTGTAGTCTTACCCCCTGACCATCCCGCACACAATAGTAGCCATGACTGTTTCCTCCATGACACTGGACCATACATCAATTCTGTTAAACACGTTTTTGGGGCCTTGAGTAGGCAGCTTGACAGTGTGCCTCATATTCACCAACCAGCTATGGAATATCTCGAAGATGAAGCCATTTTCTTTATCTCTTATGCCCAGGTAACTAATTGCATTCTTACTAGAAATTAATTTCTTAAGAATTTACTTAAATATTATTCTTATGTTGAAATAGTTTACTGTAGATTTTATATAGATGTGGACAGGGAGTGGTTCAAATAAAATATTTAGTCAAAAATGTTTACTTTTTAATGTACTCATTCATTCATGTATGGCACAACATCCCGTTACCGAGACTGGGCCTCCTCCAAGAGCCTCCGCCAGTTGGCTCTGTCTTCTGCTGCAGCTCTCCAGTTCCGCACACCAAGCAGGGTTCTCGCATCATAGGCCACGTTGTCCAACCATCTCGTCCTCGGCCTTCCTACCCGTCTTACGAGGTGCAGCTCCTCCATCATTATTTTTTTTGGTATTTCAAGGGTGCTCATTCTGGCCACATGCCCTGCCCACCTTAGTCTGGCCAGTTTAATATACGTGACTACGTCGATGTCTGCATAGAGAGAACTGAGCTCCCTATTTTTTCTTTTCCTCCAGACATCACCCTCCTTTACTGGACCATAAATCCTTCTGAGGACTCCTCGCTCAAAGACACTCAGCTTCATCTCATCCCTTTTAGTCATCGTCCAAGCCTCTGAGCCATATGTCAAAACAGGCCGAACAAGGGTCTTGTATATGATCAGCTTGGTCTTCTTTGAGAGGTACCTACTTCTTAAGTGTCGGCCAAGTCCAAAGACACATCTATTGGCAGCCGTGATCCTTCTTTGTATTTCTTGAGCCATGTCATTCTTGCTATTAATTTCAGACCCAAGGTATATAAAACTTTTAACTCTCTCAAACTTAAAAGAACCTACCTCAAATGGAGAGTTCAGATCCACCTCACCGCCAACTTTTTAATGTACTTCGTAAATATTCAGTGTTATAAATATGATATAGGAAAAGAATAATTAAAAACGAAATTAAGTGAAAATATATAAAATGTAGATTAAACAAAACTGTCATTTATGGATTTTTAAATGACTTTTACCTCCCTATGCAAAGATTTGTAATTCAAAACTGTAGTACAAAGCATTGAACCAGTTATATTTTTATCATCAGATATATATATATATATATATATATATATATATATATATATATATATATATATATATATGTATTAATATTTCTCTAAGCTAGACTTTTGTCTCAAAAGAACTTGAAAGTTATATACTTGGACAAGTATTAATAATTCCATAAAAGGAGGTCTATACCACAGACTAATTTCATTTGTTTTTTCGCATTAGTTTCTTAGTTTTTGCTTTTGCATCTACTTACTTAGTCACTGCATTCTTTTAGCACTCATGCAGTGTCGCCTAGCATTCCAAGTCATAGCAGAACTTTGTAAATACCATGTTATTTATTCTACAAACTTCTCTTGCAGTTTTCTGTAGAATCTCCTTCAACTTGGTCCATTTTCTTTCTGGTGGAAGTTTAATCATTCGATTGTTTTTTCCCTCTTTTCTTTCCGTATGTGTTTGAATGTCATATACTGATCTGATCTAGTTTTTTTTATCATGTTGATGCCTGAATCAGTGAAAGATAGACGGGTTTATCTGCATTTTAGAAATGCAAAGCTGTGTGATTGGTTTTTCACATATAATTTATAAGATAATACAAAATTTGCATGTTTTGTTTAGTTGCTACTCATTTATATTTTTAGTCTTTTTATATTTTTGGCAAAAAAAAAAAATGGTATCTTAGCCTTGTTAAATAAGTTTTAAAGTCATTATTAGGCCTTTCATCCACTGGAAGTGACAGCGTGCAACTAATCTTCAAAACTACGTCTAGCAATTGTTTTAACTTGCTATATTCGTTGCATAGTTTAAGTACTGCAAAATTAGATTTTTAAATATAAGTTTTTATATGATATCTAGTAAACTGTATAGATTTGCAATATCCTGAAATAAACAATATTTTAAAAATCCGACATTTGAAATCTGTATAGTTTACCAAGGCATCCTGTTAATATTTTTAGGGAACAAAATGAATTTATCTTAAAAAACTTTATTACCTAATTACTTTTCTTCTGCTACTTTAATCCACAACTTCATTGTTATATTTCTCCTGTGATACTGCGACTCCTTCTGATCCCATAAATATTTTTTTTTGTAAAATTGAATTTATTAACTTCACTTAATCCATTATTATTGTGTAACACTGTTTGAAAAGCAGACTAATTAAATCTTTTGCGATTTTATATGACTTCTCATTTGATGCAAAGTTTTTTATAGATGTGTTAAAGGATTGTAAACAAATCTTGCCTTACAAATTACTCTTGTGTTTACGCTTCAAGAGAACAATAGGTCTTACAAATGGCACTATTGTTTTGATTATCAAAGAGGCCTTTAATTTTAAGTTTTTTTGTATATTACATGACTTATTGCTGTAAATTATATAATATTACAATAATTGTGTAAAAGAGTTATGAATAAAGATTAGTTTATAAAATTTTTGGCCGAGAGCCAATTTTCTAGTTTATTGGAATTATGTTTATTCCTTGTATTTATTAAGAATTGACCAAAAATTAAAATTATTTCAATGAGTAGTAAATATTTTTGTTTTATCTTTCTCCAGGGAATGTGTACATTAAAGACAGCTGAAAAGCAAGATATAGAAATGACAACACTGAAGTCTAAATTAGATGATCTCAATTTGTAAGTTTTTTTTTTTCATGATTTCTGTGTATAAACTTGTAGATTCTCATTAAAAAAATCTTGAAGTGCATTTTAAATGGAGCTAAAGCATAAAGCTTACAGATAAAAAATCATTAATACCATTAAAATTACAAAAAGTCTATTTATTATATCGACGGTAGGCAATAAAAATCTAGTTTTATAAACCATATAACTTCAGTCTCTGTGCCTTTCAGTTGACAGAATGACTAACTCCAATTTCGATATTTTTTAGTAATGTCATTTTAGTGATATTTCTAGTTGGAAAAGTTATATCTATACAGACAGTGACAAAGTTGATTCCAGTGTAGGTGATTGCAATGTTGAAATATAGAACTGTGAATAATAAAGGTGTAAATTTTGCTACTAGAAACATCACTAAAATTAATAATAAAGAATGTTGAAATTGGAGTTAAGTCATTCTAACAACCGAAAGGTTCATATATGCCTAGAGAGGTTTGAAAGTACATCTGAATATTTAACCTATAAATGATTATGGATGGTAGAACTATTAGTTATTAAACTGTTATTTTTCATTGTAAAGTTTACTAAAAATAAAATTACGAGATTTTCATTGCTTGCTATGGATAGGTCAAAAGTTGTCACACTAATTGTAAATTGATAATGTTGTGATTTCACAAAGGGAAAATTCATCAAATCATTCACTAATTTAGTTTCCTGAAAGGTTACTTAATGAGTTTTTGGAATAGACAGCCAATAGATACCTAATTATTTAAATATAATATCATATCTAGAGTTATTAAACTACAGCAAAAGTATTTAAGGTTATAAACATATAAATGAAATATTTTTATATTTCACTTCTTCTTTCATAATATTAAATAGTATTTTAAACAATGACATTGGCATGATTCAGTGGATTTTAAATACTTTTTTTTCAAACTTAAAAAAAAACTTTACATTTAATAAGAAAATTTTATTTAATTTCATTGGAAATATATGATTTATGTTAAATAATTTTAGTTTTCTGAAATTATTACTTATATATTTTTTAGTCACTCTGTGTTTCCTTCTACTGCTTTGTTTATTTAATATTATTTTTTCTAAAATATTATACGATATCTTCTGACTGTTATTTCCGGAGATTCATTTTCAACCTGGATAAGCATTTTTCTTTTTTCCTCCAGTTTCCATTTATCATATTATTTTAAACTTCATATTTAGCCATTTTTTATATTTCCTGTTCATAAAAGAGAGTTAATTTTTTAACTAATTATAAAGGGACTTTAGAGGAAGACATATTTAAGCCGTGTAAAGTGACATCAATGGGGATAAAACCTAAATGATATTAAAGATTACTTAATTTTACAATGCTTCACCGAGTTTAATCAAAATTGTTAGATCCATTTTTGAGACAATTTTACTTCATTCCATAGTTTTATTATTATTAATATTTTTATCTATTTATTTTTATAGGCTGCAAATAATGAAGCTGCGAGCAAAACCATTCTCTTCTACATTTTCTTGTAATCGTTCTGTTAAGAAAGATGAATGCGATTCAATGATATGATCTAACCTTGCCTATTATTTTATCTATCCTGTTTCTGAACTAAGAAAACTTTGCTCTATTATAAACATGACATGTGTAATTTAAATGATTTTAAATATTTATCAAAAAATAAATTTTAGATGCTAAGCTATATTATGTGATGTTGAAAGATATTTATGTGAATATTGTAACATATTGATTTGTATATGTTAAAATGACTACTCCATCCATGACTTATTTTATTGTCGTAAGTATTAAAAATAGTGTAAAGTGTAGAAAATGTTATTTCTCTTTGTAATATCTTGATACTGAACTTAAAAATCTCAGAAATTTAGACTAACTTTTACAGTCTTCTTTTATTGTATTTAAATAGTCATATTAATAATTAAGCGTTAGTTTTTATATTATTTATTATTCAAGTATTTGATAAGCAATACCATTTTTTTCTGTATTAAATTGATTATTTAATGAAAATAATTTAAATATGTAAGTATTTATTAACTGTACTTCGAGATTAATTTTTTTAAATTATTAATTTTATTGGTATTTTTGAAGTCAAATAGTTAGAAAGTTGTTTTAAAAAAGAAATTTTTCAATGACTATATGGTTTTCAAAATACTATTTTAAAAATAAAATATTTTTGAAAACAAAATGTTATATTTCAACTGTGGAAAAAAAGTGTGACAGTCTGAAATTTTGAAATATAACTAATTAAAAAATAAAATAGAATCTTGAAAACCTTATTGTATTGTTTGTGTAAATATTGAGGTAAAAATAATTGGAAACAAATTCTTTTATTTTTCTAAGTTATTTAAATGGTAAATTTAGGTCGATATGCAGAATATTTATAATCCGTTTTTGTTGGATAATTCTGCAAATGAGTACTGAAGAATGAGAATAATTTTTAGCATGGAAATATATGATTTTCATATATTGTTAATTTTTTTTTTTTATGTTGAAAATATTCACTAATACATATTTTAAGATAATATCAAGCTAATAGCTTTTATCTGAAATTTAACTAATTATCAATACATAAGCTATTATTAGTCATCACATTGATTTTTCAGTTTATAATAGTTCGAAAAATTTTATTTTATTTTTTCAATTATTTAAGGCAATTATTGATAACTTAATTAAAATATTCTAGTATACAATTTAATCACTTTTGAAATTTCCTTATAATCTAGTATTTTTTTTTTAGAATTTGACTGCCATTATTTTGCTAGATTGGTTTGATGAGGTTCTTTTTAATTTAACTGGTCTAACTTTAATTTAATTTTAACATGAACTAGTTTAAAGACTTGATATGCTAATATTATTTTCATTATTAATTAAATTTATCAATTCTGTCCTCATTTCTTTACATGATAGCAATTTGACTTTTGAAGATATTTTAATGAAAAAATACTCTTCCTTTGATTTTACATAAAATATAGTTTAAGTCATAGACAAATGCAGAAATATGAAAATGGCAAAGTTTCAAGTGTGAAATATGAAATTTATACTTTATTAATTTTCTGAAATATAATATAAAATTGGCTATATCTATCTACTAAAGCTTGGGTTCTCAATTTGTTTTCATCTGTGCATTCCATTAATTACTCAAAGTTTAAACAGAATAAACCTAATTTAATTTTTTTTTTCTCTGCTTTTACTTTAATATTTACGGTAGCTCGAGCAGCATAAAATTCCAGTTTATCATGTTTTGGAAGGAAAGTATTTGTTTATCATGACTGCGAACTCCAGAATTTAATAACTCCCACATTGAGAATACTGTTGTTAAATGATGTGTTTATATAAAATAAACAAAGTTTTCAATGTAAAACAACATATAAAAATAATTAAAACTGTCTTCTACTGTTAAATATATAATTACTAATATTATTTATTAAATAATGTATTTTAAGAATGTGGGCCTTGATATTTTTTTTATTGTTACTTTTTTAAAAAAATTTTAATGTTATTTTTTTTAAGGTTCCTATCAAACTGTAATAATTGTTTCAATGGTTTAACTATAAATAATATTTATATAATATATTACACCTGTCCATGAAAAGAAACTATATGTTAGGTTACGGAATCTTGCATAGGATATCAATATATTTTAAAAAGTTATATAGAAACATAAGCATCAAATTAGGTTGTCTTCCTTCCCTTCTTTGAAAGTAATTGTTATTGCTTTAACTTATATTTTATTTTATATTACATCATGGCATTTTATGTATATTTATTATTGTAGCCAAATGAAGTGAAACTTCAAAATCAATTGTTTGATAACTTCTCGGAAAAATGTAAGTCAACATATGAGCTCTTCTCATGAACAGGTTCAATTTTATATTTATTCATGTGTTATTAGATCAATCTGTTACAGAATATTATTAGATCTAACGATATTGAATAGTGGTTTGTACCATTTAAAGTAAGTTTATTATAATAAGTATACTTGAAACTATTATTAACCAACTTATGTATTCCTTCCATGTAAGAGCATTTGCACAAAAATATGGTGTATTATAATGTACTTAATTAATTGTATCTATAATCAGCCACTTTACCATTCCACTTTAATGTAGTGGAAAATAATTCTGTGGTGTGGTTATTCTGTAATATCCCACCAAAATACCTCTAGAGTAATAAAAATAATTAATTTTTTATTTGTCTACTTTCAAGTCACCATTCATCCAAAGGAAAATAATGCAATTTTTAAAATAGTATGTCACTAATTGTTTTAATTATACCTATCAATGATAACATTACCTAAGCCATACAAAATAAAATATATGATTGTACATTTTATGCCTACGCCTCATCTTGTTAATTTCTCCTATAAAATTTATATTCACTTGATTATCAGTTAAACGTTGCGGGCTTTAAACACTTAAAAAAAAGAGTAAAGGTTCAACAAATAACACGCATGAAGTCAGAAACAAGACTGCTTTATTCCTCCTTATAATCCTCTATATATACATTCTAAGTTGTTTACATAAATGCTTTTGGTATTAAAGCTAATAATGTCCCGCTCCGTACCTTAACTTATCTGTTAACAAGTCCCTATCTTTTCTTCAAATTTGAGCCAAATCGAACCTGCAGTTTTAGAGATATAGACTATCAAGGAAAACAGTTTGCTCATATGTAAGAGAAAGTAGAGGACAGATTTCAATGAAATTGATACTGCATTATTTTTTTTTATACCTATCTTTTTGCTAACTTCGAGCCAAATCAAAGGAGCCATTTCTGAAATATTGGCATATATAAAAAAATACGTTTGAGCGTGCGGAAGCCAAAGCACTGGATGGAAATTGATATGAGACCATCTAGACACCCACCCGCACAATCCTCGAAAATTTAATAAAAATCGGATAAATGGTAGTAGATGATATGCCCGTTACATCGATTTGACTGCAGACACACCGAATCAAATTTGATCCTTGAAGTCTGAAACGTAAAACGCGAGTATAAATTTTCTATTCTGAGCATAATTTTTTTTTTAACTTAATTTAAATTATTATTTAATATTAAATTAATAATTTAAAGTATCAATGAAATTGATACTATTTATTTATTCTTTCCTTCTTTGCCTTTTGGCTGCACGGGATTTTGCAGGGATGGCATATCACAACATCTATGTCATTCCTGCTATTAAACGGCAAGTACTTTAACGATTTCGTTTTGTTTTTCAAAACTCTTCGTTTTCCAACATTTTCTTTTCACGATATCAGTTTGGCGGTCTTCCATTAGCAGGTCCTCTTCTTCCCAGATTAAAGTGTGAGGGCCCCAGAGCAGTTTTCCACCCGTACACAAAATCTTTGTAATACGGATAGCTCTGGTACGTCACTAACTGGGGAAATTCATCCTCCGTGAGGCCATAGACTTCAATTTTTTTCATCATTCCGGCCCTTAGTCCATCAAAGGCGGTGCAGTTGACTATGACATGCTCAGCAGTCTCCGGTACTCCGCAGGTGGGGCATAGGGGATCTATACCCGATCCAGACAATCATTGAAAATCCTCAATAATCGCTCATCGATGTTCAGCAATCAATACTGTACTTCAAGATCACCGCTTCAATTTAATCGAGTACTGGAGCAGGGCTTCTCAGCCTTCTCTGCTTATTCACGGCAATACGTAGATCATGCACGTCCCATGGTGGGTATAAGTCTGTGCCAGGAGGGTATAACGTAGAGTGTCGCACAAAAGCTTCCTCCTCATTGTCCTGGGATGGATCATCTCTGAGATACGTCGCCTTTGTGAAGGCCTTAATATTTGCTGGTTGAATGAATTGAAATGAATAAAATTGATACTAGGTAATTTCTGTACTATATATACTAAGTTTAGGTCAAATCGAACGCGCAGTTTTAAACTATGGAGAGTGTCAAATAATATATTTCCTAATCTTAAAGCGGAGTAGTGGATAGAATTTGATAAAACTCATACGTGCTTAATTATCTGTTTACAATACCTAACTTCCCTCAAAATTTTAGCAAAATCAAACATGCAGTTTTAGAGATATAGACGTACCAAGAAAAACACGTTTGCTCATATATAAGAGAAAGTAGAGTACATAATTCAATAAAATTATAGCTATATTAATTTTTCACCAATATCTATCTGCCTTTTATCCAACTTAGAGCCAAATCAAACGAGTTATTGCAGAAATATTGGCATATCTATAAAAATGCGTTTGCGCGTGTGCAAGCGGAAGAAGTGGATGGAATTTGATAAAATTGATATGGGAGCCAATCTAGACACCAACCCCCACAATCCATGAAAATTATATAAACGGCAGTAGGTGATATGCCCGTTACATAGATTTGACTACAGACAGACAGAAACTTAATCTTTGATGTCTGAAACGTAAAACGCGAGTGGAAATTATCTATTCCGAACACACATTTTTTTTAGCCTCTCGTACGAATACAATTCTTTCCTACATTCGGTAGTGAGTAAGCAATACAGAAACAACTGTCAAAATTTGACCAGCAAGACAAAAAGAAAGAATTTCTCTTCCGTTACCTTTTCA